CTTCCCGTGAGGGTCCCGGTGACACACGGTGCTTAAGAAATATAATAGGGGCTACTCTATTAGTCGCCCCCTTGTGGGATGCAATTTTCAGTTAGTTTTAAGCCCCGCCCTGCCGCGAATATAGCTGGGCCTCAATTGTGGCCATGACGGCTGAAAGGGTTTTTTCTGACGTCTCCACGGGTGATCCTCATCGGCATGGTGGCACTTTGTGTCACCGTGTGTTTATCGCTTGTGTGATGTCCTGGTGGGATACAATTACCGACCAACCTTAAATAAGGGCTTTTGATCTGAAAGATTCTCATAATATCATGGACAAAGAATAAAAGAAATACCGCCATTTTAAAGGATCTGAATATCGGTGGCTGAAATATTTTAGACACATGAAGCGCCATTGCGGGTTGGAAAACAATGATTGCAGAAATCATGGTGTCAGGAAGGAGAGGCAGAGGCCGACCAACACGAAGATGGCACAGGAAATAAGTGACTCATTCAATATGAAAGTAAACAAGACTGGAGAGCTGGTGAGAGACCGAGTTTCTTTCAGGTAAACCGCGATGAGAGCGACGTTCTGCAAAGGATCTTCTACATGGTGATGATGTAGTTATTTGGTAAGTGCTAATATCGTTTAAAACCGACCACACGTATAGCTTTAATCCTGCGGTGAAAACTGGGAACATACGACATTTCAGAACGTTCGATTGCCACACACACATACATACACCCACATACACACCCACACGGAGGCTGTTTGTTTTAGGGGATTGAGTGGTCTCGAGGTAGGGTGTCCGCCTCGAGTGCTAAATGTCCCTGGTTCAAACCTTAAAAAAAGCTGCAATTTTTTCACGTGGACTTCTAGTAATTCCCCCTGGTCTCACACGGACGCCTGTGTGTATTTTTTCGCACGTAAAAATCCCTTGTCAGTTGACGGACTGACTGACTGACTGACTGACAGACTGACAGACTGACTGACTGACTGACTTTCTACCCCACTAGGACATCACACAAGTGATAAACACCCGATGACACAAAGTGCCACTATGTGGATGAGGATCGCCGTGGAGAGGTCCTAGAAACCGCGTTCAGACAATTGGTCATATTTATGGCCTGCCTATATTGCGGCCCTTGGCAAAAAGCCAGGGTGGGGCTTTAAATAACAAAAAATTGTGTCCTAAAAAGGACAAAACTAGGTAATGATGTCAGTTGAAAATCGGAAAGAGCAGTATAACAGCGCTGCCCGTGCAGAATTTGGAGTTACAAATCTACCTAAAGTATTTCAGGATCCTCGCCGGTGCAACGAATTTCGTGCACTGCCCTCAAAACTTTCCGACAGGCTTGAGCTATAAGTAGAACGGAGCACTTATGGGTTACACCAGTGTGCCATGACGTTGATCCGTCGAATTAACAATGAACATAAAACACACACAGACCCACACACCCACACACTCTCACGCACACAAAAAACACACACACAATCACGCACACACATAAACATTAAACAGTAATAGTCAGTAGAAATAATTACTTTTTTTTTTCAAGAACACATTTTACATTGACACATTTAAAGCAACCAAAGCAGAGTGACAATGTTAAGGGTACCATCTATTTTTATGTCCGTCTTGCCTTTCTCCCGAGCTATGAGCCTTATCCTATGGTCACACCCCGCTATACCAGTTCTCCTCAGCCTTGATGATCTGTTTGTACTTTCGCACTCTTCATCGGCAAACACAAGGATTTATTCACATCTAGCTTGTCATGCAACAATTACCTCAATTACCTGCTTGTCTGTATGTCTGCCTGTCTGGATGTTTAACATCACACATGTATTCCGTTGAGAAAACATCTGGAGGAAGCTAACTACCCAGGACAACTGAAGGGTTAATTTGACCTTAGTCTTCCCAAATGGTAATTTTTCAATTACAAATTCGTTTTGCTGGTCGACTTTCCTGAACGCTACGGATGTGTCTCGCTCTGTTGTTTGGTATCTACGATGTCTTGCGTTTATGTTTTCATTCCGAGAAAGGGAATGCATGTGACATAGGTTTCAGCATTCTCTAGGGGGTGTTGTGTTAGTACCAGTTTCTCCGTTTTTAGGGTGTTAAAAGCGCTGGCGTGCTGAAATATACAACAAAAGACTTCATAGTCTGCCTCTCAAGCCAACAGGAGATATTATTGACTGCCTCTCAAGCCAACAGGAGATATTATTGACTGCCTCTCAAACCAACAGGAGATATTATTGACTGCCTCTCAAGCCAACAGAAGACATTATTGACTGCCTCTCAAGCCAACAGAAGACATTATTGACTGCCTCTCAGACCAACAGAAGACATTATTGACTGCCTCTCAGACAAACAGAAGACATTATTGACTGCCTCTCAGACCAACAGAAGACATTATTGACTGCCTCTCAGACCAACAGAACACATTATTGACTGCCTCTCAGACCAACAGAAGACATTATTGACTGCCTCTCAGACCAACAGAAGACATCATTGACTGCCTCTCAAGCCAACAGAAGACATTATTGACTGCCTCTCAAGCCAACAGAAGATATTATTGACTGCCTCTCAAACCAACAGGAGATGTTATTGACTGCCTCTCAAGCCAACAGAAGACATTATTGACTGCCTCTCAAGCCAACAGAAGATATTATTGACTGCCACTCAAACCAACAGGAGATATTATTGACTGCCTCTCAAGCTAACAGAAGACATTATTGACTGCCTCTCAGACCAACAGAAGACATTATTGACTGCCTCTCAGACCAACAGAAGACATTATTGACTGCCTCTCAGACCAACAGAAGACATTATTGACTGCCTCTCAGACCAACAGAAGACATTATTGACTGCCTCTCAGACCAACAGAAGACATTATTGACTGCCTCTCAAGCCAACAGAATACATTATTGACTGCCTCTCAAGCCAACAGAAGACATTATTGACTGCCTCTCAGACCAACAGAAGACATTATTGACTGCCTCTCAAGCCAACAAAAAAAATTATTGACCGCCTCTTAGACCAACAGAAGGCATCATTGTCTGCCTCTTAAGCCAACATAAGGCTCCATTGTCTACCCCTCAAGCCAACAGAAGGCTTTATTGTCTAACTCTCAAGCCAACAGAAGTCTTTTTTATCTGCATTTCAAGTCAACAGAAGGTTTCATTGTCTGCCTCTCAAGTCAACAAAAAGCCTCATTGTCTGCCTCTCTAGCCAACATAAGGCTTCACTGACTTCCTCGACGTGTTGTAAATCCATATTCAGTCATTACAAAATACATCGTTATAACTAGACAGGGAAAGGTTTTAAACTCCGGCCACACACATACATGTTGATAATATGAAAATCAAACGAACTGAAACATGCAAGTACTTGGGTGCAAACTTCAACTGCTCCAACATGCTGAGACAAGAAATGCAATCTACAATACAAACTGAAAACAAAATATATTATGCCCTTCAGCATCTGCTAAAATCAAAGTCTCTATCTCGCAACACCAAGATCAGAATATAATACTTTGTTAAAACCAGTTGTTTTATATGGCTCTGAAACTTTGAGGTACAACTGAAAGAGATGAAGTCTTATTACAAATTTTCGAAAACAGAGTGTTGCGGTGAATCTTTAGCCCCACAAACGATGCACACAGTGGGGAAGGGAATGTGAGAAGCAACAACGAAATTCATAATCTGTTTAATTCATCATTGATCACTTACATCATGCAAGCTAATAGACTGAACTAGCTGGGGCATATTGAGAGAATGGCAGATGACAAAGAAGTAAAAACTGTATACACAAGGGCTCTGAATTGTCGTAGACCATGAGGCAGACCAAGAAGATAATGGAGAGATAGTATCCAGACAGACATTTAAACACTTGGTGTGACCAACTGGAAAGAGAAGACCAATCAGAAAGATTAATGAAGACAGGTGATATCTGCAAAAATGATCCTCAGGGGCTCAAAATGCTTGAAAAAAAAAAGACTATCAAACAAGACTATGCAATGCAGACATTATAAAACAATATTCTATTTCATATTGTAACAAAGTTCGACAATCATATTCTACAAAAAAAACAATGACTAAATAATTTAATAATAACGTAAGGGAGAGTTGCGAAGGAAGATTATGGAGCTTTTGCCGTAACAACAAGTAGTCTGACTATGAAGGTCATTGCTGTGACTAAAGCAGTAACATGGGTAGGGACACCGACGTTTCATGGGGCTTGCTTTCTCAGTGACTCGATGAGTATGCTCAGGAAGATAGAGAAGGGCTGGGTCGAAAGGCAGTAGCGTAGTTGGCTAAACCGGATTGCGAGGAGACCGGGTGACGAACTCCTTGTGGTCCGGGTTCAATCCCGGGGGTAGGCAGAAAAGCCACATTTCTCCCAGATTTACGGTATTTACAATGAAATCAAGGCCGAAAGGTTGCGATATCCATAATACCGAGCCTAAGGGTTAACACCTCATTGCTTCTGGATACTAAAACAAACAAACAAACAAAGGCAGTTGTTGGTTGCTTTGCAGCGTTCACGGCTGACAAGGATTAGTTAATTTTCGTGCCAAGAAAAGTCGGGGTGCAAGGAAATGAGCAAGCTGATAGACTTGCAGGTAAGGCTACTGTGAAAGCAGGACAAGCCATGGACCAGTCTGATATACTGAATGCTCTTAGAGAGTTAAGGCATTTGCGTGAACCAATTGAGAACTGTGAATCTGCAACCATGGTCAGACTGCAAGTTAAACGGGATGTCGCCAAACAAGAACAAAAACACGGGTAAGCCAAGAAAGAATAATAAACCAACACAGAACTGGTGGCGTCAGCCGCTACACACAGCGGGATTTATTGAAGGGGGTGGGGGGATCCGAGCACTAATGGACTGAGTGGTTCGACGTGCAATGAAGATGCTCTGTCGTCTTACTAACAATAACATAACTCAAAAAATATATTCCTGTAATCTCTTCCTCAATTACACCCACATAGATCATAGACTTGCTTGTCACTTTCAGTTTTATGTTTTCATTCTTCGACACACTACAATCGACGTCAAGAAAGTTGTATTAGATGCGATGTAAATAATAAAGTCTCCAAGACAGTTTATACACACTATCAGGTTATGAACACATACTGTCACACGTATAACTGACCATTGTAGTTGTCCATTCTCTACATTGTACGCCAGCCCAAACGCAGAACTATAACACAAAATATACAGGAAACAAATCTTTAGTAATGTTTTAGTTGTCTTCGTAATGCCGCGTTTAGTGTTGGCGTTGGCTTTGGAGGTAAGCTGTCGGCGTCTTTTGGTTACGTGTAAGATCTTGAGTCCAATAACAACACAGCCTACCATATTCAAAGCAAGTGCTACTATTCCTGTCAGGTAATTAAACATGTTCGCTAACAGCTGAAACAGACCGCTTCTAATGTGATTTCTACACAAATCACTTCTGACACTTAAGGCTGTAGTAACTCCATTTATGACATATGTCTTTAACTGTAGACACAGTATCTCGTGATAGAAACAATACATTCCAGTTAGCAGAAAGAAACAGAGCAAAACGATCACTGTGCTCCTGGGTGTTAAGATCAACTTAGCTTTGAATGAACAGAATATGGATATTATACGTTCGCCTGCTATTAGAATAGGGGTCATCGTACCTATATTTAATCCCAGTGCATATGCAAAGTTACATATTACGTGCAGTATAAAACAGAGGTGATTGATAGTTTCGGAGAACTGAAATCCTTCCGGAACATTGCTTTTGTATATATAATCAGTAAAGTCGTTGAGACCAATCAAGAAAGTCACATTAGAGACAGACATAGATAAGAGAAGTATATTAGAACATTTTCTCAATCCGTTTCGTGTCAGTATCACCATGCTGGTTGCGTTTCCTATGATTCCCAACACGCCCAGTGAGGGAAAGATCACAGAGTAAAATATGTTAACGATTGTAAATGCCATTTCGTCACTGAGAAGTAGGGCAGAGGTCATTTCCGTTGTGAATAACAGCAACACAGTCGTGTTGGACACCATAATCGTTTTGTATGTTAAAGTTAACACAGCTGACGTTCGACTTCGATGCCTTTTTGTTCAGTAATTTAAAAAGCCACTTCTGTCAGTTTCTGAGAGAACTAGTGGTAGAGTGAAGTTTGCTGGTATCTGTCCGTCTTCTTTTGACGAACAAAAAGTAAAACTAAAAGAAATCGTCATGTTCAATTGGCATCCCAAAGAAGGAGCTTTCAGTTATAATTGTGACCTAGGTTATTTGCGCTTTATTAAATAACTTAACATTGCTCACTACTAGGTACCCTTGCAAGGACCCAAACACTGTCATGACCAACGACGAAGTCGTCTACCGGCCAGACACTGGGCGACCTGGCCGTGAACAGTTTCTATATGTTTTCAAGTCACATCAAGTCACATCAAGTCACATCAAGTCACATCAAGTCACATCAAGTCAAACTATTTACATATATTCCACTATCTAACAAAGTTCACCTTTGTCATATCAAAGTGGTTGTTGTATATAAAGTCAGAGCGTGGCAATGTTGTCACTATATATATATATATATATATATATATATATATATATATATATAATATATATATATATATATATATATATATATATATATAAAAGCAATGTTTGTTTGTTTGCTTGTCACTTATAAACTCGGCAACTACTAAACCGATTTTCCCAATTTATATTTTTATATTTTTCTACGGTGACATTTAATTACAACCACTTTGGTAAATACGCATGCACAGCACAGTATTCTGGACGCACCACATTCATCATTCGCCGGCGATGCGCTTTTTTTTTTCATTTTCCGCTTAACTTTTTTGTGTAGTTTTGTTATTACTTGAAGTTCTTTTTGTCTATGAGAAAACAATTCCCTTCAGTTTTTAACTGTGTTATCAATTTATTTTAAAATTATTACTGATATTTCAAATTTTCACATTTTTATTTCATTTTTTTTTTTCGGGTAGAAATCCTCAGTAAACGTGGCGACAGCACTAGCCATGAGTTCCTAAATACTGAATACTCAGGCTCGAAGACCCCACTGCCTTCACAAATTAGTGAGGGAGAGAAAAGTAGTCAGTAATTTTTTTTCTCGGGGGTGGGGGGGGGGGGGGTGAGGGGAGGGGAAGGAGGGAGCAGAGGACGAAGGAGGTAATGACAGAAACTGATAACTAAGAGAGAATGCTGTCACAGTAACCGCCATGTGGTGCTACATACTCTGACCCCGACACGTTGTCTACACTGACCTAGAAAGGTGGTTAAACGGACAATAGTGACATTATTTCGGTTGTTGTTGTGGTGGTAGTAGTAACTGTACTGGCACTTTACTGATGCCGTTGTGAATATTTCACCGGCCGCATTTACGTCTTATTACCATTCCTGTTACCCGTTTTAGTCTGGGTGGACACGGATGTCAAGATCAATTACAAAAAATTTCGTCACGTGATGAATTTTAAATCCCTTACGAGAGGGAGAGATAGAAGTAGTCGGAATTTAAAAACAGTTGTTTCAAGAATGTATGTGTATGACACGGTGCTTCGCCATTGCGAAGTGGATCAATAAATTTTCCCATTTCGTATACTACGATTTCATTTCAGTGTTACCGATTGCATGGTTACATTGAATTTTATAGATTTCCCTTTATTTTCATTTTGATTTAATTATTTCGTCTGACATTTCGTTGAAATTTAGCTCTGTTGTTTATCATAGCGTTCATTTCGTTATTATGGTATATTTTTCCTGTTTTCGTTGCTTTTTAGTTAGTTTTTTCCCCAACTACTTGGATTAGGGACAAATTAGTCTATGATTTGGGGATGGGGGGGGGCGAAATTACACATCCTAATCTGACCAGTCTGTGGCGAAAGAACTTGCCATGCGGTGCCAACACCTATGGCTCACGACCCCCTGTCTACTCCGATAGTAAATCATATAGTTGTGACATTATTTTAGTTATTGTGGTGGTAGTAGTTGTACTGGTACTTAAAAGATGGTGTGGTAAATATTACACTGACTGCATTTGCTTCACATTACAATTCCTGCTCCCCACTTTTGTCTGGATGGACAGGGAAGTCAAGGTCAGTAATAAAATATATCGTCCGGTGATGATTTTGATGATTTTCAAATCCCTCGGCGATGGAATGAGCAGCAGTCGATGAATGGGTGAGGGGGGTTATGACATTGTTAAGTTGGAGAGCTAAACACGTGATTTTAAAAGTGTCATTTCCTACTTTTTTGTTTATATATATCTATATATATATATATTTTACAACGCTACCTCAGCTATTCTCATCTTTTTAACTACTTACTTGATTATTTACAAGAACAGTTGAAAGTTTTACTTCCATCTCTTCAAAAAAATACAAACAGCTTTAGCATGTGATAACTAAATAACCATTTTTGAATGTCCTTATAATACAATTTAAATGAATATATGATGCCGCGATTGTATGTTGCGTGTTCTAGAGTCGGCAAACTAGACTATCTCTATATCTGCGCAGGCAATTATTGCGACATAAACCATATTAGACACGTGTGGTTTCTATTTTTTCCCTATTGAGCCAAACTATGCCACAGCTAAGCTAGTTTATATAGTTTATATATATATATATATATATATATATATATATATATATATACACATATATATATATATATATATATATATATATATATATATATATATATATATATATATAGGCATATATGTCTTCCTCTTCTGTCTATTAACTTTTAGAGCACAGGTCCTCAACCAACTCACATAAAGTCGTTCTATTCTTCGCTATTGCAAGCAGTTACCCCAAGGTCTACCTATCTTTTTTTTTAAAGTTTAATTGCTTTAAGGTTTTCTTAATGCGTATCGTATCCAACGCCAGAGTCTTTTCTTCTGTCTTTCCACTGGAATTTGTATAAATCTCCTCCAAAACCTCAACATAAGTACTTTTATCATACACGTCTGCACATGAACCAGTTAATGAACATTTGTAGTTTCCTAATATTTGCTTTAGTAGTTTGTCATGCCTTAATTACATATAAACAGTGCTCATTTGACATTAGGAAAACAAATTTAAAGCTAAGTATTAGTTTTCCTTTCTTTTCACCTTCAAACAATTCCCAGTGAAATAAAAGCTGCTATTGCCTTTATTATTCGAATGGCAATATCTCTATCAGTTCCCCCATCTTTAACTGCATTTTTTGTCCAAAAAGGTGTACGACTCTAAGTCTTGGACTAGGATACCATTAGGAGAAACCACATTATTATTTGCCAGTAGGATACCATTAGGAGAAACCACATTATTATTTGCCAGTAGGATACCATTAGGAGAAACCACATTATTATTTGCCAGTAGGATACCATTAGGAGAAACCACATTATTATTTGCCAAATATCTTCTCTTTATCTGTGTTTTTTTTTGTGTGTGAGTGTGTGTGTGTGTGTGGATTTTCAGATCTAGCTGTTGTTATCTCGCAACTAGCATACTTAATTTATCTTGCATCTGATTCAGTGAATAGGACGAACGGGAAATATTATCAGCGAAGTCCAGATCATCGCACTGTTTTTAGGGGTCCATTGAAATTCATTCCTGGTTTTAGCAGTTGCTCTCTTATTAATCCAATCTATTGCCGGTGAAAAATAGTAGAGGCGACAAAATACATCACTGTCACACACATGTTCTTATTTCACATGTATTTGTTAGCTTTCCCTCGTGGAGAACTTTACATTTCATGTCTTTAGAAGTTGTTTTTATAAAGGTAATAATTTTCCGTGGGATTCCATAGTACCTCATTAATTCCCAGCAAGATGCCCTACCAATTGTGTCAAAAGGTTTCTCATAATCTATTAATCCAATGTTGTAGAAGTTGTTATTGATCCAGCGGCGCATGAGCTTTCGCCCTTTGGCCCAATGCCGTGTAGTGGAATTTACATGTTTTCACAAGCTGTTCTTTTCCTCCGTACAAGGTGTTCCACCTGTCTGGTCTCGGAGGGAGTAGCATTCTTCTAGTCTCGTTGAGTTTTGGGCACTCAAAGAGATGATGGTCAACAGTTTCGTAAGGGTAGTTACATAGCTGGCACTCTGGGGAGTGTTGTGGCTATATTCTGTTTAGGTGTCCATTGAGTGGAGTATGTTGTGTTCTCAGTCTGAAGATGGTGGCCTGGTCCCTTCTTGTTAAATGGTTAATGCTGTCTTTAGGATCAGGGCTAGCCGTGTGTATATAAACCTTTTTTCCAGTTATCTCCCGTGGCTTATGGGTTTATAGCTTTTATTAGTGTTTTTGCTGTATGTAGGGTTGTCGCTGTGGGTGGTTGTTCTTTTGTTGTTCCTTTCTTTTCCAGTCTGCCAGCTCTGTCATTACCTCTTGTGCAGCACTCAGTGCCTCCAGAGCTTGAAGAGCAGACATTGAATCGGTGAAGATGACAAAATTTTGGGCCTTTAAAGGATAAACATTCATTACAGTCTTTAGG